GGTCTATCCCGATGGGTCTTTTTCTGTAGACTTATATCGTTGGAAACGCCTCATAGAATAAATATGTTGTTTCCTTTATTCACAGAACTGTGTGTTAGATCTGTGGGAAGGAATTACAAGACAGCTGCTAAAACTGTGACAGAATTAATAATCTAATTTTTTTAAATCTTAGGTATTTTTGTATATCCTGAAGATCTGTACGATTCTAGGGAGTGATAGCTTAGGTAAGTTTTAATTGGCGACAGTGTGAGAACTTTAGGGTACAACTGCAGTTCAGATGATGAATTTAACTGTTCAACTGCTGAATGATACAGACATGAACTAAAACATAATTCTGACAGCTGAATATAGCTCTGTATAAGTTTTAGTTTTTTAATCACATTCATCAATCTTTTATTTCGTGTTTTATCTGTAGGAGTGAAGATTTTAACTTACTCGTGTAGAGGTAAGTGGAACATTTAACTTCTTTTCATTTATTAAGGATTCAAAGTTGTGAAGTAGAGTAAGTCCTCCCTTAACACTATTGATAGGTTCTGAAACTATTAAGTGATGTAAAAGGAAGCCAGTTTGACCACAGGCTAAATGATGAGAAGTTGCTGTGGCATCTCAACTTGATAAGGACACCTTGAACAAAAGGATGTTAAGTTGAGGACTGCTGTACTGCATTCCATTACCCCTGTGACTAATAGATTAGGTATAAAGCAGAATTGTCAATATCTTGGTGAAAATATTTGCCATAATTGTATTTATATACAAAATTGGTGGTGGTGGTGGGGGGAGTTCAAGAGACTGCATGTCTAGGGGTACCAAATGAAAATGTCCCCTTTTTGCACCCTTTTATTAAACGGACTGTTCCATATGGTTCACCCTAGAAATGCAGACTTGGATATGTTAAAATAGCAGAGGAACTTCACCTAATAACAGTTGGAACAATGGTAACCTTTATTTCTAGTGCAAAGAGAGAATAAAGATAATAGTGACTTAGGTTTATAGTTTATTGCATTAATATGGTTGCCTCATTGAAATGACAACAGGAAAGTCGCTTTTTAAAAAAAAATTTCCTCCCCATTAACCCCCCACCAACCCAGGTCTTCACAGTATTGTCTGTGTCCATGGGTTAGTACATAAAAGTTCTTGGGTTAATCTCCCTCCCCCCACCCCAAATCCTCTTGAGTTTTGTCAGCTGGTTAACATGCTTCTGGATTTGTCACAATGATATTGAATCCTCAGATACTTAAAACAGAAGTGTTTATAGTTCAGTCATAATGCACTGCATGGTATCTGCATTCAGTAGTTTATTCCTG